CCAGTATGCTCGTTTGTGGCTTTGACCATTACTTTCTGTATTTGCATTTGCTTTTCATAGGATTTCTGTATTTACATGCTAGTAAATGTTATAAAAAATACAGTGAGACAAAAGCATTTTTATGACAAATCTAGTAGTATCATACGCAAATAACAACTTCAAACACTTTGACTAGTTTTTGAATATTAGTGGTTGAGGTTTTAAAATGTTCTTTGTGCACAAAATCTAAAAAGGAGTGGGCAAATACTAAGGAAAGAAATGTTTTCATCCATAAAGGCCAATTTACACTAATTTCCAGAAGTTCATGCAGACAGATCAACCTGAAGATGGAAAATATCAAAATAAGCACATACCTCAGCCAGTTGATCATGTTTGAGCAGGCTTTTCACTCTGTATACTTGATTAGTCGCCAAATACTCATACTTTATGAGTTTGGCATCTCGTGTTAGTAATATTCTTCCTTCCCTGTAGATTTGATCTAATAATTCCCTAAAGTTGAGTAGAAAAAAATAAAAAAAATAAATTAACAAAAAAATCCCTTAATAAGAAACTACATTAGGAGTATTGAAAGTATAGGGGAAGACCTTGGTTGAGGTTTTTTACAAGATGGAGTGGCAGCATCTAATCCAACACATCTCAAGTGCTTAGCTAGACCCTCAATCTGTTGAGTTTTGTTCACATCAAATCTAGCAGCCTTTACAAATAGAGAACAAAATGGGTACTTGACTAACATATAAGGTGGTAAAATCTGTCATACTTCGTGTTCATCTTATACAATGGTATTTTAAGAAACAAACAAAATCCACACTCTTGTCGAAGATGGTGAGATTAGGAAAACTGTTACCATCACATCACACAGAAACTTTGGGTATCCATCTCCACCAACGGAAGGATCCCATGGAGGGGGACCCATCCATTCAGTATTGTAATCAAACTTCTCTTTGCACTTGGCATCACTCGACAGCTTTTGCTTTTCTTTTCGTCTTGAGGAACGGGCTTTTGTATCTGACTCTGTCAACAAAATCCTGTCGCTGTACTTCGTGATGATGGATGTCGAATACCCATCAAAGCAAATGTCATTTCCTGACGATGAACATTCACTTGCCCTTTGTGAGCAATGTTCATCTGAAGCTTCAGCCGTTGGTGAACATTTTTCTGCAGTAGTAATAAATAATGCAAAAATTGTTAGTGGTTAAATCTTCTTGGCTCTTATTAATGATAAGCACTTAAAACTCTCATGAGAAAATAATATTTGCATACAAGAAATGCAAAGAAAAGAACACTAAATTCCCATGATCAAATCAGTTGCGTTAAGAATGACAAAGGTACCTTCAATGCTGACCTTCTGATGGAACAAATCAAATATATATAGCAAGTAGTAGGCATCTGATGCAGCATATTGTATTTGCCCTTCGCTCAAGGGTCGGCATGACCAATCGCTACATTGGAGTTCCTGGTGCAAAAAATAAGGATAACAACTGGGTAAACCCTTAAAATAATAGGGACAATTCCATTTCTGCCCCTAATTTTGAACCCACTACTCACATTTACCCCTAATTTTCAGACCTACTCAGTTTTGCCCCTATTCCGTTGTGTGGTGTTATAGAAATACCCCTGAGCGATGTTTCCTTCAGGTCTTCTCTACTTTCTAACCTTTGCAACATTCCTCTGTAGTTGCCAGTGCTTTCAGTTCTTTTGTAGCATCCCAAGCATCTCCATGTATGGCAGTTCCTATATTTTGGTGTTTATGTTTTCAGGGAGAATAATTATTTTCAGGAATGCTACAAAAGAATAGAAAGCACTGGCAGCTACAGAGGAACATTGCGAAGCATAGAAAGCAGAGAAGGCCTGACAAAAATGTTGCTCAGGGGTATTTCTATAACACCACACAACGAAATAGGGGCAAAACTGGGTAGGTCTGAAAGTTAGGGGTAAATATGAGTAGTTGGTTCGAGTTGGGGGTAGAAATGTAAATATCCCAAAATAATAATGCTAACAGATAAATGCATTGGTTTCAAGATCTTATGGGTTTCAACTTTAGCCTACCCCAACTTGTTTGGAACTAAAAGGCACTGCTGCTGTAACAGATAAATGCGAGGATTGTATTTTTTGGTAGTGAAGAAAACAAGGAAGAGAAATAAGATTGATTTGTCTGCTTGGGCTGGGCAGGAAGACCAAGAAGCTCAATTTGGTTCCATATTAAACTCGAGTTCAACTGGACCACAAGCTCGAAATCAATTTGCATGCTGATCATGTGAGCCCAGGTAAAGAACTCACATTAAGATGCATCTATGTGAGGAAAATGAAAGCTAGCAACCAAACTTGCATACGACCAGGCTTGAGCTCAACACCCCTATGACACTTTGTTATGAGCCTTTGTGCCAGACTTGCTCAAGGTTTGCTCATGTGATGTGTCTGGTCACAGGTGCTAAGAGAGGATACCACAAGTTGGTTAGCCACGTATGAATACTATAACTGGAAGTTATGAACAAGGCTTCAAGTAAACCAAAGGAGACAGGCATTTATAATCTGATATGTTGATCTGTATAGTAAGGAATACTGCTTTAAATCAAGTAAGTTAGTAATAAGCAAAACTAGTTGGATTTGACAAGGCTATTATACACCTACATTCCCGCTGGTTTATAGTTGCGTCAATCTCTACTGCCCTGCAATTCTGCAAATGTTTGCCAAACAGTTGGTTTCATATGGCAATTGAACTTGGCGATTAACGCAACCATGCCATGTTAAAATGCAAGTCCCCGACATGAAGGCAACGAACTTATGTAGACTAACCTTGGATAAAGAGACATTAAGCAGTTCCTCACATATTGAAGCCAAACTCTTGGTCTCCTTTGGAAGTCTCTTTTGCATGTCATGCCCCTTGAGGTAGTGATAAACGTTGGTGACATCCAAGAAAGGCTCCACCTTGCAAGACGAATGACGGCGGTGTTACTCACAAAATATTAATGCTTACTGCTGCCTCTCAGCTGGTTTTGGAACAACGAATTACTCCCTCCATTCGGGGTTTTAGGGCTGATTCTTGAAATCCCCCGTACCAAGGAGCAACTTTAGAAATTTCAATCTGGCTCATAATGATCCTGGGCAGATTTGTTTTGGGGAGGACTTTGACACATAATTCGTTGTTCCAAAACCAGCTGAGAGACAGCAGTGATCATGTAGCTGATAAATTAAACATCAGACAAAGTCTTCAAAGCTTCAACCCAATTCAACTTACAACAATGTTGCCTAAGAGAAAGGGATCTGGGATATTCTACCGGAACATCGTGAACAATCTTGTCAAGAAAGCAATAAAACAATTTGCACGACAGGCACTCTACCCTGTTGAATCCAGAGTCGCATCCGAGGGCAGCCGTGAAGGTGGCGGAGAGGTACACGAGGTCCTGCTTGAACCGGAACCCCAGCTTCAGCACGTCGGGCCGCTCAAACAGCTCCCTCAGCGGCGCCCACAGGTCGGCGAGCGGCACGGCGAGGAGGTCGACGACGAACACCTCGTTGCCCCCGTCTTCTCCCCGGCAGGCCATCTGGAGAACCGTAACAGTCGGCAACTGCGTCGGATTAGGGGGGGCTGGCGAGGCGTCGTCGCTGGGGGCGGAAGGAACACGCCGGCGTGGCTTCCACTCGGCGTCGAAGGCGACTATGCGGGCGGCCGCGAGGGACTGGAGGAGGTGGGATAGCGCCGGCGAGGACGCGTCGCCGGTGACCAGGTGTACCGCGAGCGGCGGCGGCGGCGGCGCCGCTGCGGGGTCCATCGGAGCGGGTGGGAGTGGGGAAGAAGGATCGAAGAAGGAAAGACTTTTTTTTAGGGGGAGAGAAGGAAAGACAAAGCACGCCTTTTTTCTTAGGGAAAAAAACGTTGTCACACCTTAGCCCACGAGGCCTGACAATCCATCTGTGGTGGACTCACATCTTTCAGCCCAGCCCAGACCAGCCCGTTTGAAAGGTTCGCACAGGCAGAATGAGGCCCACGACCGTTCACCCACGGCTGGACCACGACGCTCTAGTTTAGTTTAGTACCACCTCGCCGAGCGAAGGGAGAACGGGAAGGGGAGCCGCCTATATAAGAAGCTCTAGGTGCGTCCTTGCAGCATACTTACCTGGACGGGGTCGATGGCTGATCAAGAAGAGCCGTGGCCTAGATCAATGGCTCACATTGCATTTGGTGAGTGTGTTGGTCTACCATCTCCCCAAGTGAAAGAGTGGATGTTGTAATTTGTGATAAAGGGGTACGTGTTCGCGCGGCCCTTGTCAATTTTTAAAATTAAAATTTCATGAATTTTGTTCCTGGCCGCCCCTTTGTATGTTTACCTTTTCCTCCTTTTTTCTGAGTGTGCATTTTGCTTTCTAGTCTCTGCCAAATCCTATTTTATTCCTGGTGTTTCATCTGCGCTTCAGTTACTGCAGATGTGTTTTTCAACATCAGTTATCATTTTTGCCAGTTCTGAGAGTCAAAATCCAAACAGGTCACGTCTAGACTGTGTTTTTCCTTAATGTGCAGAATGTGATGAGACTTATCTGTGAGTAATGAAATTTGTTGGGATATCTAGGCGGGCCCTTTTAGCATCTTTCTGGGCATTGGAACTCAGAAACCCACAAAATTCACAGCAAATTAGACGAACTTCTACATAATTGAGACGAAAATGTGCGCTCGAGAAAAACGAGCGAACGAACTGGTCTCAGGCGATTCAACTGTTGGCTGGGCTCATAGGGAAGCTGAGGATTCAAACAGGATCACCCCACAGCTATCTCTTGATCCCTCGCAGGTAATGACCCCCTCAACGTAAATTTTGCGACAAGGGCACCCAGAAACTTAGTACCAGGATCACAAAAGGATAATAGGGTTCCAAAAGTTTCACTCGATGCACTTGGAACATCACCATAATGTGGCACTTAACATGATGTGGCGTTACAATTATTTTTGCAATCGAGAGGCATGGCGATGCTGCAGTGTTCTATAGATCCATCATGAATCGCACTGCGCATCACTTGGCGCTAAGAACTTCGATCTCGAATATCAGCACGGAGTTTGGTTGAATTCCCCAGGCTGGAAAGCCACCTTCACCGTAAGCGTAGTCTGGGGTGCACTGCAACACAAACACTAGAACATCAGATCCATAAGCATAATCTGCAGTGCACTGCAACTGATTCATTTGGCAAACAACTTATTAGGCATGAATATGATATGGCACTGGAAAGGCTCATTAATCCAAATTCAGCTGTTTTAGACACACTTCTGCCATGGCGAGATGCATTTAAAAAATCCAATACAATGGAAATTGACTAGTAATTAAGTGCCAGATGAATCAATGAAGAAATTGCCACACACAAGCAAGCATGCAAACACATCAAACTGATTGGACATGTCCCAAGAAACATACCGTAAGACGGGCGACTTCACCCAATTGCATGCCCATAACTCCCTCATCCCATCCTGTAAGCAAGGAAGTAGTTACTGTTACGTTAGTTCCAAAAGTTCACTTGCACAATCTAGTGTAGCATAATTTACATGTGTGGCATTATACTGGACAAGTCATCAAAATGTAGGCTCTACTTTATAAGTAAATAGTGGAAACATGACTTGGTGGTCTTATGATGTTAGCAGCATGAATCAAGACTTTATAGGAGAACTTCAACAAGAGAAAATATAACGAGGGTACGAACAGAGGTAAACAACATAGACAGATAAGGCAAACAGTGCATGTTTGCAGCTATATCATGATTTTCAGTAGATACTCCGATGGTCTCAAGTCCGCAACACAAATCAAAGAGCATTGAGCTTGTGTTTTGACGCATCAGCAGCAATCCAAACTAATTTTAAGCGAGAATATGCTATATTTAGTTGTAAAACAATGGAGACATCTCGAAATTATTCCTTTGTGGAGTCTTCTGACCGAGTAAACAGCACCCCCTTGATTATTACTGAACTAATAACGTATGAGCCAATAACATACAGGTGAAATGATTGTGCATAAACTGAATAGCACTTTGATAATGAGATCACCTTTGATCACTGAACCCAGACCAATGTTGAAAGAGAATGGCTGCTGCCCAGGGTCCTTGGTACTGAAAAAACGAACATAACACCATCAGATAAATTTCCAAAATGCAAAACTTTTTCTGCAAAGTTGCATCCGAGAGTTATGGTTTGCAAGGCATAGTAACACGATCCTTCCCGGTGAAAGATTTATACACAAAACACGGAAAGAGAAATGCTGCGTTTGTTCACAACGTTCACAGCGCTGGCGCAAAGCCATGGCCTGCGAATCACGAGAAAACAAGAAAACTAGTCATGATTTACCTCCAAAACTTCTTAGACAGATCACCATCCTTCCCTGCAGGAGCAACATGGCAAGAAACAAAAGTTAGCCAGCCCTTAAACAGCACATTACATGAAGTACAAAATCTACTAGAAATGGTAGCCGGAACTGGATAAGGTACACTGGCACCACTAACTGAATCTAGGCTGACAACTACAGAGCCAAAATTTCACATCTAGTGAAAACCAACGCCTAATCGACACCGCGGTTACTCTTTTAGGTAGATCTGGAAGCATCGAGCGCTAACCCCAAGTTCGTCTCGACGGATCCAGGGAAAAGAAAGAGGAGGGGTTCGGGGGAGGGAAGGGGCGTACCGTAGCCGGTGCAGTGGACGGTGACCTTCTGGCCCTTGACGGGCTTGGGGCCGGTGCCGGCTTTCAGGATCTCCTTCTCGAATCCCATCTTCCCGTCCTCCGCGTCTCCTCTCCACAGTTCGGCGGCGGCGCAGCGTTGCAGTGGTGGCTTCTGATCTGTGCTGGTGCGGCCTAGTACATTTCAGGGTATATTCTTATCACAAAACTTTGCAACGTGCACACGGCTTTTGCCCCAAGAGTTTCCCCTTTATTCTTTCAGTTTTGCTTTTAGTCTCGGTCGACTGATACTTTGTTCTGTCTCAATCCATGCTTTATTCCGTTGATCTTGCATAGAGATTCATAAAAATTACATTCTTTCAGTTTTTTTTCTGTCTTATATACTATGTCACTTGACCGAGATTGGTTAAATCTCAGTCGAGTAGGACCAAGTCATGCCCTTATCTTTTCTCCTTCAAGTACAATATATGCGTGTGTCCCAAAAAAGGCATTTTGCAAAAAAAAGGGTATGTGATCAAGAATTAAAATGTGATTCCCGCAAAAAAAAAACTAACATGTGATTGTATGGTTAGGAGGGTAGCTGTACCATCAACCCATCAAGGATCAAATCCAAGATTTGACGCTTTGGTGTTTTATAAAGACAGAATATTCATTCAGTGAGAGTCGATGTTTTCGTTGATAGTGAGGCGTCTATGGTGACTTTGTCAATCTCAACACTGTCGGTTTTAGTTTTTGATGTGCTTAGAGCAACTCTAGCAGACCCCGTATCCCACCGGCCCGCAAAATGCGTTTGCAGTTCACGCAAAATCGCTTTTGCGGGCTGAAGCGGGCTGGCACAGATGCAGACCCTGTATAATGGACCCGTAAAAAGCATATTCACTGAATATGTTTTTTTACGGGTCGGCTTCTGCGGGTTCTGATCTGGCGCAGCTCCTCCCGGCCCGCAAAACTTAGATTTGCAACTTAAATTGATCTAGCATAATGCTTTTCTTTGCTTTTGCAACAACATTAGATACAAAAGATATCACCAAATCTTGGCTAGAATAGCAAAATCAAAGAAAATAAGAACCACAAGTATGCATTTCAGAAGATTTCCAACTTCCATAACTGCTCCCACTAGTTGAAGCAATATCTTCTCCATGCACTCATTGTTGATCTACGGATTCTTGATCTTGCTTTCTTCATTCTGCATCTCTGGTTTCAAAGAAGTAGACGTTGCTTCCCCTCTAGTTGCACATGCCGCCGCATCATTGCCTTCGATTGTACTAAGGAGTGCACTAACATCTATTAAGTTTATTTCTATCAACAAATCAATGTATTGGCCTTCCCAAAACCAAAATGAGCATTCATCGTCCTACACAAAACATCGAGCAAGCTCGAAGTGAGCTACCGCAATTGAACTAAAGAATGAGCTATGGAACGAGGTACCGCAAGTGCACGTACCCCGTCGTTTTCGCATTTGTAGAACACCCATTCGGAGTGCTTCGGCGTGCCCGAAGTGAGCCGCAGCACTTGGCGCGGGCAGTCGTCGCACTCTATGAGCGGCATCGGCAGGCCACAAAGACGTTGCGCGAACGCCGAGCCCAATGGACGGCCAGACAAGTCCGTGCCTGCAAACCTTCGGCGGCGGCGGGCGGACGAACCCGTGCCTGCATGCGGTGATGCGCCCTTGCCTGGGTTGCGGGAGAGGCTCCCCGACCACTCCATCGCCTGGGGCAGCAACCGGCGGCCGGAAAAAGGCAAATCCGATGGCCCACGATGAAGTGCCGCAGATCTGCAAATCCGGCGGCCCGCCGACGCAAGGGGGGGGAGGGGAGGCCTCGTGTGTGTGGCGGCCTTCCGGCGTGCTCCTGCCGCCGAAATCTTGGGCGGCGGCGGGCGGCGGCGCGCGGGGGGAGAGGAGAGGTGGTTGGTGGGAGAAAGCGCGGGATGAAATGCCCCCCCCCCCAAACGAACCGCTTCCGCTTATATGCAGGGCACCGCAGCCGCGAGGGGGAAACACGTGTTTTCCCGGGTTGGGGTCGGGATTTTGCCGCGCCCCCTAAATTTTTTTGCGGGCCGGGGCGGAATGTAGGGTCTAATCGGGCTGGTTTTTCCGCCCCGACCTGCATTTTGACGGTTATTTTGCGGGTCGGGGCAGGATGCGGGGTCTGCTAGAGTTGCTCCAAGATTTGACGCTTTGGTGTTTTATAAAGACAGAATATTCATTCAGTGAGAGTCGACATTTTCGTTGATAGCGAGGCGTCTATGGTGACTTTGTTAATCTCAACACTGTCGGTTTAGTCTTTGAGGTGCTTATAGGGATAATGTGTGTGTATTCATAAGGATGGATGTATGTACACATTTGTGTTTCTTAAAAAATATATTTATATGTAATCATCATGATTTTATATACCATTTTTGTTGGGTATGTGATTACGTACCAACAATGGATTTTAGCTGTAAATTGAATGAATGAGTAATTATTGAATACCAACTAAATTATGGTTTATTTGGTAATTCAATAAGATGTGAGCAGTTGCAACAATAGTTGATAAGAATATCTTTAAGAGATCTATTCTAGACTCTACATAGTCTGTGGATTTTGAACTATGTTGTACAATTTTAAATAGTTGCACGTTCAAAAAATGATATGCATTGGAGTAGTAGAACAGACAAAATTATACTCCCTTTGTTCCTAAATATTTGTCTTTTTATATATTTCAAATGGACTACCGCATACGGATGTATATAGACATATTTTAGAGTGTAGAATCACTCATTTTGCTTCGTATGTAGTCACTTGTTGAAATCTCTAGAAAGACAAATATTTAGAAATGGAGGGAGTAGTTTAGCGGATACAATTGTGTATAATCTACTATAATGCCAAACACAAGTTAAAACTCATTTGTGCATTGAAATTTAAATTAGCAAATGCAAGATGATTGGCGATGACAGTTGGGAATAAGAAGCCATGTCAAACATACACCTCAATTAACAAAAATCCTATAATGTTGTATGATTTTACATTTAGATCCAATGGGGCGAGATGCAGGTTGTTTGAACTATCAATCTGGTTTCTTGGGACACTTGGTTTTTCTTTTATCTTGGGACACTTGTTTTTTCCCCTTCTTTTCTTGTGATCAAATAAAGGCTCTGGAATTTGCATCCATATTGTCGGCACCAACACTGATCCGATTGCAATTGTTGAACCGTGTTGTGATGAGCTTTGTATACAAACTATTGTTGAAAGTTGGCATGAAATTTGTTATTGTGTTTGGAAAGCCAAAGTACAATATAGCTAACTGAAAAATACACAAACCAAAAACGCTAAGGGCCTCTTTGATTCGCAGGATTTTAAAAACGTGTGAATATGAAAAACACATTATTGGAAGGTCATCCTTATCTCAATCTTATAGGATTTTGGCTTGTTTGATCGCATTATAGGAAAAACAAAGATATTTTCGAAGAGGTTTGAATGGATGCTAGAAATCATGCAAAGTAGTACAAAGAAATCCTTAGAAAAAAAGCCTATTTGGATTCAATCCTATGAATCAAACAACTATTACATAGGAAAAATTCCTAGGAAAATCATTTGTTACGAAAGGAGCCCCGAGAACACCGCCTCAACTAGATACACCTATTCCATTTTATTTCTCTGTCCCAAATTATAAGACATGTTTAGTAGGCTAAGTAGCTACCAAAAACGTCTTATAATTTGAGACGGAGGTAGTATAACTGAATGCATCTTAAACTGGAATTTGCAGCCATTGAAGTGCACCAGCATGGATCAGTTCGCGTGAGTGGATGCAAATCAAGGTAAAGTATCGCGAGATGAAAGTTTCGGTGGGTCACGTACTACTATGCCGCCATTGCAGCGCCGCCGGCTGCACCGGCGCGAGTCGCCGCCCGCCGGCCACGCACCGTCCGGCTCCCGCCGAGGACGCAGCGACGGCGCCAGATCCTGCCGCGCCGCCGGCGGACACCTTCCCGCCGAGCAGCAGCAGCTCTGCCCCCATCTCGAGCGGGAACGTAGGTGGCGCGGATAAGAGGAAGGTACGGGGAGAACGAGTGGAAGCAACGAAGGAGACCGGTGCCCTGGTGGGTGGGGACTGGGGAGGAACAAGATAGCCATGGGGACAAGCATATGCATGTGCAGTGGCCAAACCAAACCAGATCAGATAGGACAAAGCCCCGCGTACAATGTTTTGTACAAAACCATGTGCCCCATGGCACCGTGTTTTAGCTGATATACTTACAACAATGATCAATTTACAAAACAGCGTGCACGCTGTGCATTCTTATTTCCACGGACCCCAGAACCAATTTGGCAATCTCCATGCACGGAATGTACAGAGCAGTTCTTCGGCCTCATCCAACCAAGCACTAACAAACAACATGAATGATAACACAAGCCATACGGCGGTCTTGGAAGTGTGCAGTGAATTTGCACAGGAGTACGTACAACACAGTAGCAACCTCAAGAATCATGGTGTGGAACACAATAAGAAATGTGTGCTGGGTCGAGGATGGGTCAGGTGCCCTTGATCACCACGACGGGGCAGCCGACGCTGTTGATGCAGTAGTTGCTCACACTACCCAGGAACATCCTGTTCAATCAAAGGAATCGGATCAGCTTGTTTCTTTCATACACGGAAGATAATGCACTATCAAACGAGCAGGCAGGCAATTATTCTGGAAACTTCATGGTCTCAATGCATCAGCACTAGATTACTACATGGACTGACCTAGAAGGTTGCTAGATTACTGCTACATGACTGCACTAAAGAATGTGAGGATGCAGTTTTTGCTATCAGACTCACTATCAGTTTTAGCTGTAGAATTAGAGATCTTCACTGTGAGAAGCAATGCAAGTTGTTTGCAGCAACTAATATTTTCCTTTTTTTGAAACGGATTTGCAGCAACTAATAAGACATACTGAACAGTTCTATCCGCGGCATTCAGTTATATGGAAAGAAAATATGCCATGCCAAGGCACAAACAAGTGAAAGAAATGCGTTACCGATCAAGAGAAATTTGTCTATACAGTGAGTCTGCAGGAGTAGATGCAACATATACTTTACACTGTATCAGATTCATACGCAAAATGATGTTCATATAGTAGCACAATTCTCTGTAACCTAGTTTTGCCCAAATATTATAGCGCGTTGCAGTAAACACAAGGGATATCTTCAGTCGAATTTGGATTTTGGAACAATCGAATTTCACCACAGGTGTTGTACTGGCAAGAAAACTGAATTCAGAAACCACAATTCACTTTGCAGTTCGTATTTGGTCATGCAGCAAGCAAGCAAGCTTGAAAACAATCAGACATTCATCAGCTAACCAAAGCGCAGAAGACAGTGCTGGTATTTCAGTTACCTCTTGACAGGGCCAAAAGCACGGCACCCCATGACGAGCAGATCGGCCTTGAGTTCGGCCGCCACCTCGCAGATCTTCTCCTTGGGATCCCCCACCACCACCTGCGTCTTCACCTCCACCTTCAACAGACCAACAATCCGACCCAATTTAGCACCAATTAAGCATGAACAGCCAGGATAATCAGAAGAATTCAGCAATCGGCACGGATACGCCTCGATTAATCACCCCCCCTTACATTCTTATCGGAGCAAATCTTGAGCGCGTGCTCCAGGATGGCATCCGTGATCCGCCGCTGGTGCGACTCGATGGCCTGCGTGAACGCCGGCACCTCCGCCACACCTGAGCAGCCAGCGCCGCGACCCACGAAAGAATCAGTCAGCAGGCTAGCGGACAAGAGCCAGCTAGGACGCGCACGCGCAGAAGATGGGAATTGCGGGGTCGCTTACTGGGGCCGCCGAAGGGGATGGGGCCGGGGTTGAGGCCGGCGGCGATGCCGGGCGGCGGCTGGACGTGGAGCACGACGAGCGCGCCGTCGGGGCAGAGGCGCAGGCTGTCGAGCGCCCAGCGCAGCGCCTTCATGCTCTCCTCGCTGCCGTCGACCGCCACCACCACGCTGGACAGGTTGGCGGTGGCCATGGCTTGGCTGCCCCTTCGCTCGGCCTAATTGGCGACTCCTCCTCGATCGGGTCAATTGAGCAGCGTGAGGGCGAGGGGACTGGGCTGGCTAATTGCGTGCCGCCTCCTCTGCTTCTTCACGGGATTAAAGAAAGCTTCGCGGCGCGGCTGTAAGAGGACGACACTTGCCTCTTGGTAATGGTGACAGTCTGGCGGCACGCCGCATCCAGCTCCGGTTTGCGTTCGAGAGGTTTCGGCCGCGGTTCTGCAAGTTTGGAGAAGAAGTCATGTTCTTTTTAAGAGGACGGAAAACCAGATCATTCTATCCATCAAAATCTGCAATTTGATGGTTTACATTCCTCCAGCATACCAAACGCGTATTATGTCTTAATTACCCACCATGCCATTGCCTTAATTAATTACGCACCATGCCATCAGGGTAACATCTACTACCCCTGTATCAGAAAAGAGAGGGGGCTAATCCTACCCACTGCCTCGAAAAACAAAAACCGCTCCGCACGCCACGCCCGCACCACACCCGCACCACGACCTTGTAGGGTTTCGTAGTAATTTCAAAAAAAATTCCTACGCACACGCAAGATCAAGGTGATGCATAGCAACGAGAGGGGGAGAGTGTGATCTACGTACCCTTGCAGATCGACAACGGAAGCGTTAACTTGGTTGATGTAGTCGTACGTCTTCACGGCCCGACCGATCAAGCACCGAAACTACGGCGCCTCCGAGTTCTAGCACACGTTCAGCTCGATGACGATCCCCGGACTCCGATCCAGCAAAGTGACGGGGAAGAGTTCCGTCAGCACGACGACGTGGTGACGATCTTGATGTACTACTGTCGCAGGGCTTCGCCTATGCACCGCTACAATATTATCGAGGACTATGGTGGAAGGGGGCACCGCACACGGCTAAGAATATGATCACGTGGATCAACTTGTGTGTCTAGGGGTGCCCCTTGCCTCCGTATATAAAGGATCCAAGGGGGGGTGCGGTCGGTCCTAGTAGGAGGCGCGCAGGAGGAGTCCTACTCCTACCGGGAGTAGGACTCCCCTCCCTTTCCTTGTCCAAGTAGGAGAGGGGGAAGGAGAGAAGAAAAAGGGGGGGCGCCGCCCCTCCCTCCTTGTCCAATTCGGACTAGGGGGAGAAGGGGCGCGCGGCCTGCCCTGGCAGCCCCTCCTCTTCTCCACTTTAGGCCCATGAGGCCCATTAACCTCCCGGGGGGTTCCGGTAACCCCCTCGGTGCTCCGGTTTTATCCGAAACTTCCCCGGAACACTTTCGGTGTCCGAATATAGCCGTCTAATATATCAATCTTTATGTCTCGACCATTTCGAGACTCCTCGTCATGTCCGTGATCACATCCAGGACTCCGAACTAACTTCGGTACATCAAAACTCATAAACTCATAATATAACTGTCATCGAAACCTTAAGCGTGCGGACCCTACGGGTTCGAGAACAATGTAGACATGACCGAGACACGTCTCCGGTCAATAACCAATAGCGGAACCTGGATGCTCATATTGGCTCCCACATATTCTACGAAGATCTTTTATCGGTCAGACCGCATAACAACATACGTTGTTCCCTTTGTCATCGGTATGTTATTTGCCCGAAATTCGATCGTCGGTATCCCATACCTAGTTCAATCTCGTTACCGGCAAGTCTCTTTACTCGTTCCGTAATACATCATCTCATAACTAACTCATTAGTTGCAATGCTTGCAAGGCTTATGTGATGTGTATTACCGAGAGGGCCCAAAGATACCTCTCCGACAATCGGAGTGACAAATCCCAATCTCGAAATACACCAACCCAACATGTACCTTTGGAGACACCTGTAGAGCACCTTTATAATCACCCTTTTACGTTGTGACGTTTGGTAGCACACAAAGTGTTCCTCCGGCAAACGGGAGTTGCATAATCTCATAGTCATAGGAACATGTATAAGTCATGAAGAAAGCGGTAGCAACATACTAAACGATCGGGTGCTAAGCTAATGGAATGGGTCATGTCAATCAGATCATTCACCTAATGATGTGATCCCGTTGATCAAATAACAACTCTTTGTTTATGGTTAGGAAACATAACCATCTTTAATTAACGAGCTAGTTAAGTAGAGGCATACTAGTGACACTCTGTTTGTCTATGTATTCACACATGTATTATATTTTCGGTTAATACAATTCTAGCATGAATAATAAACATTTATCATGATATAAGGAAATAAATAATAACTTTATTATTGCCTCTAGGGCATATTTTCTTCAGTCTCCCACTTGCACTAGAGTCAATAATCTAGATTACACAGTAATGAATCTAACACCCATGGAGTCTTGGCACTGATCATGTTTTGCTCGTGGAAGAGGCTTAGTCAATGGGTCTGCAACATTCAGATCCGTATGTATCTTGCATATCTCTATGTCTCCCACCTGGACTAGATCCCGGATGGAATTGAAGCGTCTCTTGATGTGCTTGGTTCTCTTGTGAAATATGGATTCCTTTGCCAAGGCAATTGCACCAGTATTGTCACAAAAGATTTTCATTGGACCCGATGCACTAGGTATGACACCTAGATCGGATATGAACTCCTTCATCCAGACTCCTTCATTTGCTGCTTCCGAAGCAGCTATGTACCCCGCTTCACATGTAGATCCCGCTACAACACTTTGTTTAGAACTGCACCAACTGACAGCCCCACCGTTTAATGTAAACACGTATCCGGTTTGCGATTTAGAATCGTCCGGATCAGTGTCAAAGCTTGCATCAACGTAACCTTTTACGATGAGCTCTTTGTCACCTCCATATATGAGAAACATATCCTTAGTCCTTTTCAGGTATTTCAGGATGTACTTGACCGCTGTCCAGTGATCCACTCCTGGATCACTTTGGTACCTCCCTGCTAGACTTATAGCAAGGCACACATCAAGTCTGGTACACAGCATTGCATACATGATAGAGCCTATGGCTGAAGCATAGGGAACATCTTTCATTTTCTCTCTATCTTCTGCAGTGGTCGGGCATTGAGTTTTACTCAACTTCACACCTTGTAACACAGGCAAGAACCCTTTCTTTGCTTGATCCATTTTGAACTTCTTCAAAACTTTGTCAAGGTATGTGCTTTGTGAAAGTCCAATTAAGCGTCTTGACCTATCTCTATAGATCTTAATGCCTAATATGTAAGCAGCTTCACCGAGGTCTTTCATTGAAAAACTCTCATTCAAGTATCCCTTTATGCTATCCGGAAATTCTATATCATTTCCAATCAGTAATATGTCATCCACATATAATATCAGAAATGCTACAGAGCTCCCACTCACTTTATTGTAAATACAGGCTTCTCCAAAACTCTGTAAAAAACCAAATGCTTTGATCACACTATCAAAGCGTTATTCCAACTCCGAGAGGCTTGCACCAGTTCATAAATGAATCGCTGGAGCTTGCACACTTTGTTAGCTCCCTTTGGATCGACAAAACCTTCTGGTTGCATCATATACAACTCTTCTTCCAGAAATCCATTCAGGAATGAAGTTTTGACATCCATCTGCCAAATTTCATAATCATAAAATGCGGCAATTGCTAACATGATTCGGACAGACTTAAGCATCGCTACGGGTGAGAAGGTCTCGTCGTAGTCAATCCCTTGAACTTGCCGAAAACCTTTTGCGACAAGTCGAGCTTTGTAGACAGTAATATTACCGTCAGCGTCAGTCTTCTTCTTGAAGATCCATTTATTCTCAATTGCTTGCCGATCATCGGGCAAGTCAACCAAAGTTCATACTTTGTTCTCATGCATGGATCCCATCTCAGATTTCATGGCTTCAAGCCATTTTGTGGAATCTGGGCTCACCATCGCTTCTTCATAGTTCGTAGGTTCATCATGATCTAGTAGCATGACTTCCAGAACAGAATTACCGTACCACTCTGGCGCGGATCTCACTCTGGTTGATCTACGAGGTTCAGTAGTATCTTGTTCTGAAGTTTCATGATCATCATCTTTAGCTTCCTCACTAACTGATGTAGGTGTCACTGAAACAGTTTTCTGTGATGCACTACTTTCCAATAAGGGAGCAGGTACAGTTACCTCGTCAAGTTCTACTTTCCTCCCACTCACTTCTTTCGAGAGAAACTCCTTCTCCAGAAAGTTTCTGAATTTAGCAACAAAAGTCTTGCCTTCGGATCTGTGATAGAAGGTGTATCCAATAGTTTCCTTTGGATATCCTATGAAGACACATTTCTCCGATTTGGGTTCGAGCTTATCAGGTTGAAGCTTTTTCACATAAGCATCGCAGCCCCAAACTTTCAGAAACGACAACTTTGGTTTCTTGCCAAACCACAGTTCATAAGGCATCGTCTCAACGGATTTTGATGGTGCCCTATTTAACGTGAATGCGGCCGTCTCTAGAGCGTATCCCCAAAACGATAGCAGTAAATCAGTAAGAGACATCATAGATCGCACCATATCTAGTAAAGTACGATTATGACATTCGGACACACCATTACGCTGTGGTGTTCCGGGTGGCGTGAGTTGCGAAACTATTCCACAATTTTTCAAATGTACACCAAACTCGTAACTCAAATATTCTCCTCCACGATCAGATCATAGAAATTTAATTTTCTTGTTACGATGATTTTCTACTTCACTCTGAAATTCTTTGAACTTTTCAAATGTTTCATACTTGTGTTTCATTAAGTAGATATACCCATATCTGCTTAAGTCATCTGTGAAGGTGAGAAAATAACGATATCCGCCATGAGCCTCAATATTCATCGGACCACATACATCTGTATGTATGATTTCCAACAAATCTGTTGCTCTCTTCATAGTACCGAAGAACGGTGTTTTGGTCATCTTGCCCATGAGGCATGGTTCGCAATTACCAAGTGATTCATAATCAAGTGGTTCCAAAAGTCCATCAGTATGGAGTTTTTTCATGCGCTTTACACCGATATGACCTAAACGGCAGTGCCACAAATAAGTTGCACTATCATTATCAACTCTGCATCTTT